TTTGCTACGTCACTCTTTCCTTCATTCAATACTTCAAGTCGAGCATGTTGCTTGGCATTGGGTTTCAGGAAACTGTGTGACATGTTCCCATTCCTTAAGAAAACCTTTGATAGCACAGCAGAGGGAGAAAAGCACGCAAGGACGCCCTAGTTGTAAATGAGAGCTGCAGTTCTGGAGGATCATACATAGTGTGGGCCAGCAACTGAGGCCCTAGCCCATTCTAATCCAGGACTGGCCGGTGGTAGGGGTCAGGAAGCTGTCACAGTGGCAGTGGCCCTGGAGCTCCACATCACTCCTTAAGCCAGGTAATGGTGAGACAGAACAAGACATTCTAACCTGGGTGAGCACCGGGGCCTGAAACAGCACTGAAAGAAATGAAGTGTTTCAGGGCTAGCTGGAGTGAGACAGCTGAAACTGGGGGCAATACTACCCACTTTCCTTGTTAGAAGACTCAGGAAGTAACATGCATACAATAACACAGATAGTGTCCTGAGCGTGAGGCCTGGGGCATACTAGGTCCTCAAGAAAGGGTTCCCTCTCTGCTTAATCATAACTATCAACCTCCAGCTCCGAAATTTTATGATTTTTTTCATACCATATGGGTTTTTGCTGTGAAATGGTTCTCACACTGCCTGGCATCTTGTCATGTTAAAAAAAATAGCCTGTACTGCAGTTGGCAGAAGTCTAGGTAAAACAAGATACAAGATCATTTGAGAAATGATTGAAGCAAAAACTGAATTTAGCATCAATCACTTTTTCCTCTTTGTCCCTCTAAAGAAACTCGAATTGATTTTTTGCATGTGTGCATGGACTGGAAGTGTTGTACATGGGTTAAAATTCAACATCAGTTCAACTTATTAGAACAGAATTAAGTATTTTTCCATGGGAAATGCTCACCTGTTTGCAAACCCAGGCAAGATATTTTTCTGACTCTAGAAGTTTCTAAGATCATAACACCAACCACAGTGCCAAGAGGAGACTTGAGGGCGGTGTACACAAAATAACAGCCACAGAGCTCATTTCTGAATAGAGCTTATAGTCAGCTCTGTGTCTACTTCCAGTCTGCCTCCTTTTACTTTAAATGGTTCTCTGTACATACTTGTCTCCTCTCCAAGAGTATAAACTCTGAGGCCTTGACTTGTCTTACTCAACTTAGTGTCTCCTAGCTGTACTCTAGTCCCACAGTGCTTTATTCATTGTCAATATTCAGCAAAATGTTAAATTTAAAAAATTTAGATTTTTAAAAATCTTAAAATATTAAAAATACCTGGCTATCAGAAATTAACTATAATCTCCCTTATTATACTAGGACTCTCTGAGCTATGGCCGAAACTCCTATTAAGTAAGTGACCAGAAAGTATAGGAGGGTATCTTCTCAGACTGTAGCTATCATGTCATTTAATGCTTGTTTTCAAGGAGCCTGCTAAGAGCATGAGCCATAAAGTCATACCATCTGGTTCTGAACCCTGTTACTAGTCATAAGACTTTGGGCATGTGTGTGGTCTAATCTCTGTGTATCAGTATTCTCATCTGCAAAGTAGGAGTAATAACAGAATCTATCTTCCAATGCTGGCATGCAGATTTACTGAGTTAACACATTCAATACATGTAAAACACTTTGTAATAGCTTTGGAACATTGCAAGGGCCCAATAAGAAGTAAGTTTTTAAAAAAAAGTTTATATTTTTTTAATTGAGAGGCAGAGGAGTGGCGGGGGAGAGAGAGAGAGAGAGAGAGAGAGAGAGAGAGTTTGAGAGAGATCTTCCATTTACTAGTTCACTCCCCAAATGGCTGCAATAGCCAGAGCTGGGTCCATATAGAGGCAGGGGCTTCATTCAGGTCTCCCACATGGGTGCGGGGCCCAGGGACTTGGGCCATCTTCTGCTGCTTTCCCAGATGCATTAGCAGGGAGCTGGATTGGAAGCGGAGCAGTCAGGACTCCAACTGGTACCCATATGGGACGTGGGCACCACAGGTGGCGGCTTTACCTGCTATGCCACAGTGCTCGCCCCTTGCACATTTTTAAAAGCATGGCTAAATAGTAGGAAAAACACTATCATAGAAAGTTATTTCATGTGAAATTAGTCATTTTTCCTATAAAGAATATTTGTGAGCATCTTGTTTTTTTTTTTTTTTTTTTTTTAATTTTTTGACAGGTAGAGTGGACAGTGAGAGAGAGACAGAGAGAAAGGTCTTCCTTTTGCCATTGGTTCACCCTCCAATGGCCGCCACGGCCGGCGCGCTGCGGCCAGCGCACCGTGCTGATCCGATGGCAGGAGCCTGGTGCTTCTGGTCTCCCATGGGGTGCAGGGCCCAAGCACTTGGGCCATCCTCCACTGCACTCCCTGGCCACAGCAGAGAGCTGACCTGGAAGAGGGGCAACGGGGACAGAATCTGGCGCCCCGACCGGGACTAGAACCTGGTGTGCCGGCGCCGCAAGGTGGAGGATTAGCCTAGTGAGCCGCGGCGCTGGCTTGGAATTTTAAATTATGCATATATATTAAATAGATGTTAATTTATTTGGAAGGCAGAGTGACGTCAAGACACAGACACAGATGACAGAAAGAGGTGGGGAGGAGAGAGAGAGAGAGAGAGAGAGAGAGAGAGAGAGAGAGAGATGAATCAATCATCTGTTGGTTCACTCTCCAAATGCCTGCAATAGCCAGGGCTAGGAGAGGCCAAATCTGGGGGCCAGACAGTAGATACGAACATTTATTTGGCAGTAGAAGTGTTTGCAAACGTTTGACATTATTTTTATTACTGATACAATGTTTCTGCAATGTTTTTAGTAAGGTAATGTTTGTTACTGATGGTTATAGAATATGGCAGAATTAACACTCCATGACGATCAGAGAATGAATAATGTGACATGGTTGGTGAAAAATCAAAGAAAATACTGTTTGGTGTTACCCTTGGTATTTCAGAGAAGTCCCTCCCCTAAACTATTTGTGAACTTCAATATGGAAAGTCAGGTTATAGGGGCACACAGTGACGATCTTTTCAACAGCAATTGCGATAAATTAGCTCCCAAATCTTTTAGGCAAGATTTTATTTATTCCTATGTTGTGATTAGGTGAGGTTTCATTAGGCCCAAACTGGACTTCAGTCCGAATCCAGTTTTGAATTTTGTGAAATGACTAAATTTCTCCAGTCTGCTGGAAAAGCAGAATCCCGATGTTGTGGCAATGAGGCTCTGCAGTGAATCGCCACGCACAGCAACGGCCAGCTTACTTCTAAACGGAGATTCTTAACTGGCATGCCACATCAATCATCTGACATATAATCTGAATTCCATGAGCGGAAATGTACTTTCAAAGGTCAGGTCTCTGGATGAGGAATTTTCATTTAGTGGGTTATATAGCAGAAATGCTTAAATCTGGAGCACAGTTTCAGTGGTAGCAGAAATAGCTTCTCTTCAAATAGCAGAGAGGAAGAATGATTTTAAGCTCATTTCTAACGTTTCTGCCTGTATCTCATTAAAAAAGTTGGATAAGAGAAATGAGGTTGGGGAGGGAAGCACACTCATTTCCTCTCACAGAAAGTGCATCCTGGTGGCCTGCAGTTATAGTTTGGGCTGTACGCTAAACAATTTGAGAAATGCCACAGTAGAAGAAGACCCGAATTTTGGGTTTCTCTTAAGAAATGGGTACCGTTGGGCTTGTGTTCCTATGTGGGAAAGTGGAGTGGAGCGGAAGCTGCTTGCCTTACACGGGTCCTAGAATTTGCTGTTCCCCACCCATCTGAGCCTTCTTAGAACCACATTCCCTTCGCTGTCTTATTCTGCAGACAGGAGACTTCTGCAGCTTATGAGACGGATGCAACGGGATTTTCACCTTTTTTCTTTTTTTTCATTTGAATGGGCAAAACTCTTTGTTAAGGCGGGGGAGGCGGAGGCCAGGCTACTTTGGCTTCCATATAGTCCCAAATCTGTGCGTTTTTCAACGACCTGACCCTAACCTACTTTTCCACAACGGCCCAAAAGCGTGGAATCAAGCATGCAGGCACGGTCCCAAGGACCCCACGCCAGCCGCGTGACCTTGGGCGCCTCCGTCCGGCTCTCTCAGCCCACGGTGACGAGCGGTATCTGTAAAACGGCCCGCACACTTGTTCTGAAGCCTCCACAGGACTGCAGCGCTTCCCACGGAGCTGCTAAGCGCCGATAAACCGCAACGCGCTGCCCTGCACCCGCGTCCGCCACACGACGGTTGCCGGAATCCACTCTGCAGATCCGGCCGGCTCCCACTTCCCACGCTCAGGGTGGGCGAGCGGAACAAGATGCTCGAGGCACGAGGTCCAGAGAGCTGGCTACCACGCGAAGCGACGAGTCCCCCAGCGGGCTGAAGTTGCTGGCGGCATTTCTAAGTCCCCACGTTGACACACCGAGTGCCCCGCGCGGGAACAGGCCCTCAGGACACCTCCCACTGCTCGAAGCCGGGCTTCCCGGGCCTGGCCCGAGCCCTCCTGCGGACAAGCCCGACTCCGGGACCCCGGACTTCGCCCTCGGCCCCCAACCCCCACAATCACGTCCCCCACTCCCCCTCCACGTGACAAGAGCCGGAACCGTCACTTCCGGCGGCGCCTGCGCGGGGCACCCGGCCTCAGAGCGGTTGGCAGCAGCGCCGCGCCGCCAACGGCCGCGAGTGGCGGGCGGCGCGGGTCCGGTGAGGGGCGGCGGCGCGGCGGGCTGCGGTCCTCAGGGTGTGCGGCCGCAGCGGCCCAGCCCACTCCCCGCGGGGGCCGGCCGCCCCGCCCCCTGCCCCGTCTCCTCCCCTCGCCCCCTCCTCTCCGGCTCCCGCCCCGGGCGCTCCGCGAGGAGGCGAGGGCGCCCCGGGCACTCGCGGAGGCGGCGTCGTCGCCCCCGCACTCGGGCCCGCCCCCTCGCGCCCCGCCCCGTCCCCGCCCTCCCCGCCGCCCTCTGCGGGAGCCGGGCAGCTGCAGCGGAGCCGCGGAGCGGGCGGCGGCGCCGGGGCTGTGCGCTCGGAGCGCGCGGAATGTGAGGCTCGGCGGGCCGCAGCGCGCACGGACGCTCGGACGGGCGAAGGGCGGCGACCCCTCGCGGACGGCCGGCCGCGCGCCGGGCCGGGGACTCGCCCTCTCGCTCGCCCTTGCGCGCTCCCCGCGCCCTCCAGCGCGCCGGCGGGACCATGAAGAAGTTCTCGCGGATGCCCAAGTCGGAGGGCGGCAGCGGCGGCGGAGCGGCGGGTGGCGGGGCCGGCGGGGCCGGGGTCGGCTCGGGCGGCTCGTCGGTGGGGGTCCGCGTGTTCGCGGTCGGCCGCTACCAGGTCACCCTGGAGGAGTCGCTGGCAGAAGGTACGGGGGCTTGGGGGGCTTGGGGCAGGCAGGTGAGGGAGGGCTGGGGTGTGGCGGCGGCTTCTCCGGGTCCTCGCCCTCTCGACTTTTCTTCTCTCCCGCTCTGCTACCTCTCTGCTGGGCCGGCTGAGGCTCTGAAGAGAGTCGCTCAGGCTCTCGCCGCCGTGTGGGTGTCTCTCATGTTGCGAGTTTAAATCATCCTCTGTCCTGCCGGCCGCGAGGACATCAGCAGAAGACGTCCTGGCGGTTGATGCGGCGTTGCGAGTGGGCTGGTGACTCAGGACGGGGTCGGATCGCGCAGGGTTGAGGCTCGCTGCTTTGCCAGCCCCGGCTCAGGCGGGTGGCACGCGTTGGCCTCCGCATCCGAGCCTCCCCAACCCGCGCCGCAGGGCGCAGCACCCTGCAGCCCCCGGGGTCGCGCCTGAGCAGTCGTCAGTTTAGAAGCAGTCCATTTCTGCGTGTGTGTGTTTCAGGGGATACAGTGTCCCAAATTCAGTTTGGGAGGTTGCCTTGGAGGAAGAGGTAAACTTGAAGCCAGCCCCATTTATCTTTGTTGTTTAGAATCCTCCCGGCACGTCGGCTTGGGTAGTACATTACAGGGTGATGGGAAAGCAAGTTAACTTTCACTGGGCCCTTCGGAGACCTGTAACAAGTTGTGACAGCAGTTAGACTTGCATAATAAAGTTTTTTTTTTTCCTTTAAAAAACATCCCTAAACTTTAGCTTTGTATTTCTTGTGTCATTGGCTTGAAGAAAATACTTTTCTCTTGTTTCTTGGATGCTTTACTGACCTTTGAGTTTTTAATTGCAAAGTGATGTTACAACGTAAATAACTTTAAAAGATGCACAAGAATAATTTCTGTTGATAAGTGGCTCTTTTAAGTTCTAAAGTTAAAAAGAGAGTAGTTCTGGTTTCCTGAGAGTTAGACGTTGATGTGGTTTGAGACAGCAGACCGAGATTCCGCCTGTTATTTTTTTTAAATGTCCATAAACAATAGTAAATTGGTGCAGCAGAAAAAGCTGAGGGTTTTTGTCTATAAATAACCGAGAAATCAATCTTGAGTTACTCAGGGTGGATATCATTGTTTTGAAAGCCCTTGCCCACAGTGAAGAGGCCACAGTGAAGAGGTGGGAGGTGATGATGCTTAGCTTTTTAAAAGAATGCACATATGGTAATGGTCTTTATAGAGGGATTGACTGTGCCAGGAACTTCCTAGCTCTTTATTACATGAATTTCAAATTTTAAGGACACAAGGCAGTTAACTCACAACAGTAACTAATTGAAGTGTAGTGTTAATGTTCACTTCGTTCCACTAAATCTGAGACTAGAAAGAATATATTGACATCTCACAAACTAGATTGTGAATTTGTAACTTGTATCACTGCCCTAAGCATATCCTATCATCCTACCATAAGCAAGTCATTTTCAGTAAGAGGTGGATTTAGGAAATGAAAATAAAAATGAATTTCAGAAGAAGTCTTTATAAACCACAACACCAGAAATTCCTCTTAAGCACTAATGTCACTGTCACTGTTCCACTGACTTTGCCATAAGTTTGTTGCTTCTTGTGAAAACTCAGTAATCAAGTGATAGGAAGAATCGGGTTGAAGAGACGCTATTTGAAGATGAAACTTCCTTATCCCTCAGCCCAGCTGCTTGGGACTCGGCTTTTAAGTCTCCCCTGGAGGTGAAGTCATGGCCTAGCCTTTCTTCCCTGGGTGTTTCTTCTGGTGCCAGCATGCACAACTGAAGTGATCTGTATAAACGCTTCTCTGTTTATAGTGGGATTACATCCCTATAAACCCATCCTAAGTTGAAAGTGCATTTAATTCACCTACTGAACCTCATAGCTTAGCCTCATCTACCTTAAAAGTGCTCGGAACACTTACATTGCCCTGCAGCTGACAAAACCATCTAACACAAAGGCTGTTTTATAATAAGGCATTGAGTATCTGATGTTCAGTGAATACTTGACTGAAAGTGAAAAACAGAATGGTTGTGTGGTGTAGTTTCATTCGATTGTAAAGCTGAAAAAAGTCATCTCTCAAACCTTCATAAGTCAGGGACTGCCTAAATCCAGTTTACTTTTTGATGCTGTTTTATTTTATTTCAGGTGCTTAATATCCCCTTCCCCTTTGAATGAGTGATGCCACAATTCAGACAAGATGTTTAAGCACGAGTTTGGTTCACATTTAAGCGGGATTGATTGGTAATTGACAGGTTTGCTTGATTATAAGAGTGAGGCAAGCCTTTAAGAAAGGCACTAGAGTTTAGACTACATGAGTTGGAGACTGGTGGTTAAGGTGCTGGCCTCCCAGATCAGAGTCCCAGGCTTTGAGTGGTGGCTCTGGCTCCCGGCTGCAGCTTCCTGCCACTTCAGACCCTGGGAGGCACAGGCTCAAGTAACTGGCTTCCTGCTATGCTTGTGGAGGCTAAGATTGAGTTCTTGACTCCTGGCCTCTGCCCTGGCCCAGCCTTGACTGTTGTGGCTATTTGAAGACTGAGCCAGTGGATCAGACCCTCATTCCCACTATGCCTCTCTTTCTGCCTCTTAAAAAAAAAATCCAAGAAAGGTGTATCATTGAGTGGAAAAATAGGTAGATGCTAAGACAGATCAAAAACCAGTTTTTTCCCTTGGGTCAGTGTTGTATCAACAGAGCCAGCAGATGCTGTGCCCTGAGGTGTTCTTGCTGTGCTGCTGCAAACACAGGCAGCTTCCTTGTAGTAATCTCTGCGGTGTCTGTCCCTGTCTGTGTCTCTTTAGTTATTATACATAATTTGTTATGTTCCAGAAAGTCACCATGAACACTGACTTAACAAACACTGAACCATTGCTCCTAGGGGAGATGCATGGTTATGTTCCTGCAAACCGCTGTTTACAATGTTTTGTCACCTGATCAATATACTTCCTTGTTTATGCAGGTTTCTGTTTAAAGACCAAATTTGATATATATTGTTGATATATGTTTTATTGTTATATATATTGTTGATTCACTAACGTCAAAATCATGGCCAACAGAACTATAACTCATGCTTAAGGGTCATTCTAAACACCAAGAAAAAGCCCAAATATGAAAACATAGAACTCAACAGACCACACAAAAGACACTTATTTGCAGTATGAGAACTGAAGCACGAATGTTCAAGTCAGGAGACATGATTTTTCACGATTGGGCACATGTCTGTAAATGACCATGGATGTGCTAAAAGGAGTGATTTTGGGGATACATGTGCATTGTTGTGACTAGGTAGATCTGCAAATGCAAGGTCTTCTAATAAAGAGGATCAACTGTATGATTTATGTACATGAAGATATACATCTATAATTAAAATAAGATTCTATGGTATAGTTATGTTGTGTAACTGAATTGTTGGGGGAGTTTCCTCTCTGAAACATTATAGACTTTGTATCTTGTCCTTTAAGTCAAGCACATACTTGTTTGAAAATGCTGACAACTTGGCGTTTTTTTTAGTATCTGCTCAAAGTTTGGAGGACTGATATAGTGGGAGTTTTCATTTTTTTTCCTCCTAAAAATGGTTTCGTTTCAGGAGTCTGTGCCAAGAAAATCCCAATTTTGGGCTATGTGTTGGAGAGGCGGCCAGGGCCTAGGGCTAAGATGCTATAGGCAGGATGCCCTGTGCAGGGCTTCAGGTTTTATCTGAAGTACAGTTAGAACCTATTGAGGGAGTTAAATTGGGGACAATGACATCTTCTGATTTGTATTTGTACATAATCATGCTGATTACTATGTAGAAAATGGTTGACGGGTGTGCAAATTAGATGGTTAAAGTGGTGACAATCGGAATGAAGATGAATTTGGAAAAACATTTTATTAAAATATAGTGTACATATCAAGAAATGCATTTAAGTGTACAAATCAGTGAGTTTTTTGTCATCTGCTCACCCTCATAACTACCACCCAAGTCAAGAGCAAAGCATTGCTAGTACCTCAAGAGTCCTTGCTATCTGCCCCGTTCCTTTCTTTTTTTTTAACATGCGAAAGAAGAGTATATTGTCATTTGTGTGGTATGAGTCAGTGAAGCAACATTTATAACTATATACCAAATGGTCTGACATCCACACAATTTTTATTCTGTTAACTACCACAAATAAGAGAAAATATGTGATATTTTTCTTTTGGGTCTGGCTTATTTCACGTAGCATAATGAACTCCAGTTGTATCCATTTTGTTACAAATGTATTTCATTTTTTTAATGGCTGAGTAATATCCATATATGTGTATACATATATCTATATATTTATCACACTTTCTTTATCCAGTCGTCAGTTGATGTACATCTAGGCTGATGCTGTATCTTAGCTATTTTGAATTGAGCTACTATAAATGCAGGAGTATAGGCATCTCTTTGGTATGCTGCTTTCATTTCCTTTGGATATATTTCCAGGAGTGGGGTAGCTGAATCATATGGTATGGATGAATGTCACAAAGCTTGAATGTGGACAGCTGGTGGTGGATTGGATGGGGAATGGATAGTAGGAAGTATCAAGAATGACTTGCTTAGGCAACTTATGGATTGAGGCACCATTTGCTAAGATCAGGGAGGATTTGTGTGTGTGTGTGTGTGATGTTGGGGGATATTCTGTGGTTCCAGACTTACTATTTGAGATATCTGGAAAGAAATGTCAGGTGGGAAGTTGGGTAATGGTGTGGAACTCAGCAAAGGTGTCACAGATTGCTGGGCTCGCCCCAAGTGTGATTGAGTGTGTCTGGGTAAGGCCTAGAGTTTGCCTTTCTGTCAGCTTCCTCTGATACTGGTGCTGCTGGGCCGGGAACTACACCTTGTAAGCCACGGACTTAGGGCAAACAAAGATGACCAAGAAAGAGCTGCCAGACAGGTGCGAGGTACATCAGGAGGCTCAGCTGCCTGGGAACCAATGAGTATTTCAAGAAGCGGAGGGAACGAGCAGTCGTGTTGCTGGAAGTCATCTTGATCGCAGCTTTTGGCCTGGTGTTCACAGTTATGCATGCTCAGTCCAG